CAGAATATTATACTAAAAACCACGCACAAAAGAAAATAGGAAATTCGATGCGGACATCTTTTTGAATTTCTAGACAGTGAACCTCGTTCAGTTGGCAGTGGAAGTGGACTGTTTTGTTTCACGCAGGCTCGGAATTCTATTTTCTCCGATGAATACCGTTTTGTGAGCAGTGCGGAGTGTGTGATGTAGTGAGGGAGACGGTTGATTTTGCTGCACCGTGGCAATTACACTGGCGCGACGTATTTAATGGGGAAGGTGGGGGTCGGATGAGAGAAGAGAGGGATCTAGAGAAAGAGAGGGGGGAGCGAGACAGACAGAGGCGGGCGAGAGAGCAGCGGCTGCGCGGCGGGAGCGGATTGACGAGTAGAGGATAAGGGGGTGGTGGTAGTGCGGCGGCGGTCGCCACTGCCTCCGGCGTCTTAGTGCCGATGTAATCGGGATATAACTCGCTTTGCAAGCAATCACACCCGGGCCCCGCCCCGCCCCGCGCGACGTCTCCAAATGGCTTTGGCGCCGAGAGCGAGGTGTGATGATCGTACACTGGGGCAAGGCCGCCCAAGGCCGCGAGCGGAGCCGGCGTGGTGGCGGAGCGCGGAGCTGTGCGGCCCCGACTTTAACTAACAGTGTGGGCCGTGTTCGTCCAAATGTTGCCAGGACCAGACTGAGCTCCGACGCTATCGCCGCTGGCCGTCTTGCAGCCGAAGGGGTTGTAAGTAAGGAGCCCCCCCGAAGGAGGCCCTGCTGCCGCAGCCCGCCACCACGCCAGGACGCTGGGCGAGGAGGTTTCGCAAATATTGACCTTAGGGTAATTTCCCAGTAATTAGTGTGGGGCCGCCGTCGTCGGTCGGCCGCCTATGGTTTGGCGACCCCGGCGTTGTAGTTGGTGTGTGCGTCCGCCAGTCCGCGAGGAGCGAGCAAGAGAGCGAGAGCGAGATAGGGAGCAAGACAAACAGCTCCGCCGCGGCTCGGCGGCGTTGCTGCCCGGGTCCATCCGCAGGCGGCCAAGCGACCCGACTACTTGAACTCCTTGTCGCCGTGGTGTGAGCAGCGCGGTGAGAGCGACGAGGATCGCGATCTCAAACCAGCGACACGGCAGGGGGGGGGGGGGCGCACACCAACCAAGAACCAGGTGGAGTACGAGCAACTTGAGCCGAGGTGGAGACATTTCTAACAATGCCTCTCCCCTTTCACGCATAAATGTGTGGGGCAGAGTGCCACCGCCACCCTTAGCGGGGGGCGGGGCGCGGCGGGGTTGCCGCGGCCCAAGCACGGAGTGGAACTGTGGGGCGTGGCGGGTACGGGCAGTGATGCATGCCGCCATCTCGGGCGGGGCGTGGCGGGGCGTGGCGGGGTGGGTCGACCCACGCGAACCAGTGACCACAGCAGCATCAATGTTGAAGCATCTTAGAGGGTCCTCAGCAAACAACATTATCGCTGCTCTCCGGACGTCTCAGGCTCGGCTCGGCTCGGCAGCGCTCGGCTCGGCTCGGCAAGGCTTCGCTTAAGGCCCCGGCTGGGATTGCCTTGGCGGGGCGGGGCGGGCTAAAGTCGCCCTCCGGCGGCCTTCCCGCCGAATCAGCAGAGAAGGGTTGCGGTGCGGGTCGGCCGTAGGGGCTCCCCTGCTGCGCAGCGCCGATATGCGCGGCCCGAGCCTGGGCGCCACAACAATAATCATTATTCTCGCCGATCGGGAAACTGCACAAAGGAGACACACGCTCACGGGACGGTTTTCTTTTTTTCTGTTTTTATTTGGTTTTTCATTGGGAACTGAGGAAGCGGAAACTAGCTGCCAGCGGTGTCATAAGGAAGACTCCTTCAGTGTCTTGCCGCAGTTGTTACCGTTGTACATCTGAAACAGTAATCAAAGAACGACTCAGACAGCGCGCGGCGTTGGCAGTTTGTTTTAGTGTCATCATGACGCTGCGCTGGAACCCCCCAAAATGTGTTCTCGATATGATAACAGGTTTCGTGTACTTGACTTGGCCGAGTGCATATTATTGCGCTTGGTTTCAGAGCATGAAAACTGTTGTAAAATCAAGATCGCGTTTTGGGGGAGTTTAGTCTCGGTTGGTGCCCACCTTCTCGGGGGCGGCGGCGGCGGGCTTCACGAGGCCACGCACCAGCGGCGAGAAGAGACGCGGGTCCTGGGCGGGCGGCGACGACGGCCTGCAGAGCAGAGAGACGGGCAGCGAGACGACCAGCGACACGAACATCCCCAGGAACGGGTACAGCTGGTAAGAGACCCGGAACAGACCCATCGGCGGCCTGCGGAGAGAGGGAGAGAGACAGAGGGGTTGAGGTTAGCGTCTGGACAGGCCACGGCAGTGGGGCAGGATGGCTCACTCGAGGTCGGCGAGCGGCAGGACGCTCGCGGCCGTGGCGTTGAACGCGTAGCTGCAGTTGTCCACGGACCGGGGCAGCTCGGGGAAGGAGAGCCGGCCGTGGGCGATGGCGTGCTGGGCGCCGAGCACCATCCACGCCATGAAAGACAGGCCCGCTGCCGCGCCCGCCAGGCAGCCCTGGACCACAACAGCAATACGTTAGGTCAGAGGTCGCAGTTGAAATAGACGATATAGATTAGAAGATTTGCCCTAAAGGTTACCGTGGCGTTGACCCAGGGCAGGAAGACGCCGGCCACGAAGACGGCGAGTACGGGGCCGGAGCTGATGGAGTTGAGGCTGGCGCTGAGCTGCAGCACGGCGCCGAGGTGCTCCACGACGAACACGAGGCCGACGCACAGCGCGCCGAACACAACGACCACGACGCGCATCACGATGTGCACGGCCGCCTCGCTCAGCGGCCCCGAGGCCAAGGGGCGCCAGAAGTCCTCGACCACGACTGCGGCCATCGAGTTGAGCCCCGTCGAGAGCGAGCTGTCGTGTCGTTGGTCAGAATACAGCGCGAGTTCGCCAGAAAACAAAAGTGCAACAACGTGTTCGGGGAACGGGCACACACCTGAGTGCGGCGCTGAACACCCCGGCCACGAAGAGCCCCGGCAGGCCCGGGTACGTCCCCAAGGTGTCCATGACGAGGAGCGGCAACACCTGGTCCTTGGCACGCGCTAGCTGTAAACGACAAGCGGTAGCAGAACCCCGAGAGGTTGAGGGAGGGAGGACAAATGCCTAGGGAGCGTCTTGCCTTCGTGGTGACCGGGTCGCAGTCGTGGTACGTGGCGTGGATGAGCAGGCCGCAGTAGCAGCACACGATCATCAGCATCCAGCATCCCACCAGGAAGTAGAACACAGACCTGCAGGGTACAGATAGGGTATCAACAACACCCCAGGGATCTGCTCAAGCGTATGGACAAGTACATAAACGGAAGCCGGAAAGTAAACCCGATTCCCAGCAACAGCGTGACATTTTCCAGAATAACTCTTTATTTCTGAATTCTGTTTATGCTCTTCTGGGACTTTGTAGCCCATCCTCACCAAAGCGGGCCCTGTAACCGGCCGCTTGCGACCTACCTCCTGGCCTTGGCGAGGGTGGGCAGCGCGAGGTAGCGCTGCGTCATGGACTGGCTCATGCCACAGCTCACCAGCCCGTGGAAGAACGACCCCATGGCACACGCCCAGGCAGTGTGTCGCAGGAACGGATCAGCCTGCATTCTGCGATCAAATGAATGAACGAATAAATGAGTGAGTGAATGACTGGATGAATGAATGAGCTAATGAGCCGCGTGGCTTACACCGGCTGCTCGATGCGGCCCGACTGCAGGCCGTGCTCCATCACCACCCCGAAGCCTCCAACATCCATGGTGCCCTTGATGGCCACCAGGAGGATGCATGACATCATAGACACGGTCTGCACCACGTCCGTCCACACGACCGCCTTCATGCCACCCTGCAACCACAAAAATTATTCATTTTTTTTTTTTTAAAGTCCTTTGGAAAGAATCTTAGTGAGAAATACTTTCGAAACTATTTCGTTTCGACGTCGATTCCACCATTTCGACATCGTTTCGTTCTGTCGATTCAACTCCCATTTCTCACTGAGATATGGAAGCGGCATGAAGAACGGCGCATACGCACCACACACGTGTAGAAGACACAGACGGTGCACACTGCCGGCGTCACGAAGTGGATGTTGGTGCCGGTCACTGCGATATGATCACAACGATGGAGTGAACACAATCCTTTCGTACAGTTGCACTTTTGTTATTCGCAAAAATAAGAAGTGCACACACCTTGATTAAATGACAGGGCGGGAACGTAGATGACGACTGGAAGCCAGGTGATCTGTGGGCGAAGATTAACTGTAGTAACTAAACCAACAGCTAAATACGGGATATCTAATAATTAGTTTTCGGCGTTGCTAAAAAAATTGCTGTGTTCCTGAACATTTAACACCAGGACTAAATGGATTGATGGCCTGCCCAATTTAAGCTACATAGCTCCATGAATAGTTATCCCGCATTAGCTAATGTCTTCGCTACTGCAGCTAGCCGTATCATTTTCCGTGAGCTTACCGTACCAGGGAGATGGTGAAGAGCACGGAGCCGGCCAGGCGCACGCGACGGTCGAACCTCATCTGCAGGTACTGCAACACGGGCCACAGGGTCAGCACGACGCAGCAGGCGGGCGCAGGTTTAGCCAACCCGGGCACTCCGGGCCCACTACCGCACCTGGTACAGCGTCATGACCTGCAGCTCGTGGAAGACGGGCAGGATGGCCCAGGCGAAGAACGTGAGGCAGAGCGCCATGCCGATGATCCCGTAGAGGAACTGGATGCCGTAGATGTACACCTCGGTGGGCATGCCGATCAGCGTGATGCCGGAGATGTAGCTGGCGGAGCAACACCATTTCCCTTTACAAACTCAGTTTCATCGCGGTCCATTTGGCGGAGGCGGGCGGGATCGTTCTGGGCGCACCTGGCCACGAGCGAGAGGGAGATGGGCAGGGTCTTCATCTGGCGCCCGCCCATCAGGTACTCGTCCTCGTCGCGCTGGCCGGGCGCCAGGTAGCCGAAGTAGACGCCGATGACCGCGCAGAGGGCCAGCATGGCCACGAACACCAGGTAGTCGGGCCATGAGAAGTGCTGCAGCGCCAGGCCCATCGACGCCACGTCCGCGTCCGCTGTGGGGTTCCCACGAATCGTATGCAACAAAAAGTGACGACAGTCGAGTTTACAAAGACGGGATTTAACGGGGTCCAGGAGGCGGCTGTGAGGCCAGGAACACTCACCTGCCATGATGTGTCCGGCGCGATCACCACCAGGCCAGCGTGCTGCACCTCGCGCCTGGCCGACGACCCACTGAGCCTCCGCGCCGCCCCCGCCGTCCTGCCACGCCCCGCCACACCACAGCGTCGACACCCGCGGCTACTGCACGCCGACTATTTCGGCCGCGCCGACAGGCGGGCGAAGGGCCTGGAGACGGCCTGGCCGCTGGACCCGCGCTGGACCCCCGCTTAGCCCCGTGCGCCAAGTGGATAAGTGGGAGGCGGGCGGCGGCCTGCATATGTCAGGCCAGGGGACACGGCAAAGAAAAGAGAGGACCACAGCAGGCTCGCTTACACTTGGACGCGCCCATCAACCGCGTGTTTCGTTAATATGAATAATTTGTTTAATAGTTTGTTGTGCACTAATTATAGGGCCGTTGGGAGTCCCCAAAGCCACACGAGTGTGGGCTCGCGTGCGCTTGCTCGTCCGGCCCGGCCTGGACGACGCGATTGACAGCCGAGGAGGATGCCGACGGCGATGATCGGGAGCGCGGGGGACTTTGTCACGCCGCGCCAAGGGCTGGTAATTAAAAATGGCTTAGCACCAGAAGTCAGTTCTCT